ATCGCAGAATGAGCTAGAAACGCACAACAACTTAACGTCGGGGTTCCGGGTGAGCTGGTGTCCAAAGGAAATGACAGATTTGTTTTTGCAAAAACTTTTCGAAAGCTGGTTCTGTCTTGGCCCCTGCTTGGGACCTCGGAGTGATTTCTCTACAGTAACTGAGGACAGAGGGACAGACGAGTCTCCTCTGTCCCTCTGTCAGTGAAAGCATGACTGTCCGCACCCCTGCATGCCTCGTCCTCCCCACCATTCCCCTACAGTGCTCACCCGGTGAGCCGCCCTTGCCGTGCAGCCGCGGGTCGCTGCAGGGTCACCGGGCGCACGACCGAAGGCGCGGCCCGGGCTGCTGGATGTTGCTGGCCCCGAGGACTGCTTCTTCGGGTCTGGACAGGTGGCTGGACTCGACGGAGCTGTTGGGCACGGGATGGCCTCCTGGCCTCGGCCTCAGCCTCGGCGGGCCTCCTGGGGCTCCCCTGGCCCGGATGGTTCCACTCCGAGGGCGACAAGCCAGAGAGCGGAGCATCAGGCTCCCGGAACAGACTGTACACCTTGGCTGCAGCAGCTACGGGGTGGCTGCCCACGGGGCGCCACAGCCGATTCGCATCCCTGCTAGCTGGTTCGTATCCCACGGAGTCCCTTTGGGCATGACCTGTCCCCAACAAGAGAGCCAGGGCGAGTGGCAGTAAGCCTCTCCAACGCATCCTCCTCGGGAAGCGTCCGGAGCAGCGCGAGGTGGTCGGAGCCCTCATGGCGCCAGAGTGGCTGCAGAGCTGGGGGCACCGGAGACCTCGCGGGGAGATGCCCTCCACCGTTTGCTCTACGGACCCTCCTGGCCGCTTGCCCCGACGCGTCTAGGGGGGTACTGAAGCAGCTGTCTGGGGACCCGGGGGTTCCCAGGCTAGAACTGTATGTCTTGAGTTGCCCGGGCTGCGCACCGAGCCTGTGTCCACCGCACCTTCGCTCCCGCTCCCCGCACTGCAGCCGTCTGAAGCGTAACCGGAGGGTTTTATTTTTGGAAACCGCCCCCTGCTTTTTCGTCTCTTTTATCCACGCCATGCCCCCTCCTCGGAGGGACAGCTCGGCCCCCTTATTACGGGAGACAGGAATTCCAGCAACACCCACTTTGGCACCGAGAAGCGAGCGGGCGGTGAGGGGATTAACCCGTGAGGAGCTGCGGGCAATGTAGGGCAGACCCGGGGACTGGAAGGACAGATGGCGTCTCTCTGGACAAGCGCACCTGAGCTGCCTGCCGGTCTCCTGTCCTGAGCAAGCTCAAACTGTCCGCCTGTCCTGGATGTATTTTCTGCTCTTGACCTCACGGACTCAGATTTGGAACAAGGCTGCTTCTCAGTCCTGAAAGAAGCTAGGAAGGTACCCAGACCAGAGCAATGAGCCTGAGGCATGTGCGCCTGGTCCCGCCGCTTCCTCCCCTGGCCGCTGGGGGCGCTAGACGAGAATGCAGGTGTCCCTGGGGCAGCAGCCCGAAGTCGGACGCCTATGGGGAAGGTCAACTGGGGGAGCGCGCCCTCTAGTGGAGCTGGCCGCAACCCTTGGCAATCGTGCCTTGTAGAGACAGGCTCTGCCAGCCGCCTCAGTTCCTTGATCTTAATCAGCTTCCTGTGGCGTCAAGGCTTGGCCTGAGCCTGTGATGATGATGGCTGTCTCTGGAAGAGGTATTCTCTTTTCACAACGGTAGGCATGGAGCCTCTCAAATAAGGTGACTGAAGAATAGGATTGCCAAAGAGGGAAATAAAAAACAGGCCCATGGCCTTTGGCTCACATTCCACTCCCTGGACTCCTGTCACAGCCTCTCATTCCTTGGGGGATCCCTAGGGGACCTCCCCTAGGGAAAATGAATGAGTCGTCCCGGCTGAGCTGGGTTCTTACATCTTGTATTGAGGGGGAAAGGGATGTTGGTTGCCTCCCATCTGAGTGTCCTCTCAAATCTGCCATCTTTTTCACCCATGTCCCCTGCCCCCAAGCCTAAAGACCTTTGGCAGGTGCAAACATGGATTTCCTGAAAATGTTTTCACAGCCTACTATCTCCTAGGGAGGCAGAATGAAGGAGCATCCCATACCAGCCTCTCCCCTCCCAGAAGCCTAAGTAATATCTAACTGGAGAAGAAAGCCTCAGTACTTGACATTGGCCTACAGAATCCTCCATGCCTGGCTGGCTCTCTGGCCTATCTGAGCTTATTCTTGCCCCGTAGTCACCTCACAGCCTCTGCACTGGCCCTCTCCATGCTGCAAACAGTCCACAGTGGTGCCTTCCCTCCACGTGGAGTGTTCATCTCCAAGAGGTCTTCAGGACAGGCTCTTCATTTCACCTCTCATTGAAAACATCACCCCCTGGAGTGGCCATGTGTGCTGCTCAGCTTCCCTGGCTTGTGAGGAAATACTCATGGTTACCATTTACAATGAGAAATCAGTTCTTGCAGCTCACGGTTTCGGCCCTCGGCTGATTAGCTCAATTGCTTTGGAGCCTGTGGTGAAGGAAGGCGAAGGAAGACGGAAACCTCATGGCAGCTTGAAAGCAAAGAGAGAAACTAAGAGGCCAAGGTCCCAACTGTCCCTTGGAGAGCATGTCTCCAATGATCTAGTTTCCTTCCCCTACTCTCCACTTCCTCAAGGTCCCATCACCTCCCAATAGTGAGACAAACTAGTCATTAAGCCTTTGGACACACGTCCTTGAGCGAGAAATTTAAGCACCAAACTGTAACACCATCCCGGGACCCCTAGTCTAGAACAGCCTTGGCACCTCTGAGTTGCCACTGTCTCACAGATCACCTCTCTTTATGTTCATGGTTTCGAAGAGTTGAAAATATCATACTATTTGTTGACTTTGTGCAGCTGGTTATTTAGAAAGGCAGAACCTGAAGGAGGACAGTCAGCTGTATTTCTCTGTCTCCCACCACATAATAGTGACATTTCCTTCTCTATTTCTTTTTAAAGCATTTTTAAAATTACTTTTAATTAGCTGGGCAGTGGTGGTGCATTCTTTTAATACCAGCACTGGGGAGGCAGAGGCAGGTGGATCTCTGTGAGTTCGAGGCCAGCCTGGTCTACAGAGTGAGTTCCAGGACACGAGCAGTTAGAGAGAAAAGCTATCTAAAGAAAAACAAACAAAAATTACTTTCAATTATGTGTAGGTGTGCATGTCTACATACAGGCTTGTGCATATGGATACAGGGGTGTTGAAAGCAGCAAGGTTGGATGCCCTGAAGCTGGAATCACAGGTGGTTGTGAGCTATCGGATGTGGCTCTGGGAATTGAACTCAGGACCTCTGGAAGAGCAGCAAGTGCTCGTCACCACGGAGTCTTCTCTCCAGTCTATTCTTCTCTGTTCTTAACACCTCAGGCACCGTCCTTGGCTTGCCTATTCCTACCAGATACAAGAACAGTCTTTGTAACTAAGATCAACTTCTAGACACTAAAGAGCCTGCTCTTGTGCAGGTCAAAGGCTCATCCAGTTTAATGAATATATGTAATTTAATCCTCTTCCTCTCCCCTTTACCTCCCTACCAATAAGCAGTAGGCCTTGTAGTGGGGAGAGCAGTGTGGGCTCTGTTCTTCAGACTGTCCTCTTACACTATGGCTCTGCTGTGTCAAGGTTTCACAGGAAGTGTCAGAGATAGAGTAGCAAAGTCTTACTTAGTAGGTGCCTAAGCATTGGTCAGTTCATTTATATACATTTGTGGGCGAGTGGGGGGGGTGTCTTCCACCCTGCACTGCCATAGCAAAGGTCTCTAACCAACCTCCAAAAGATCTGCATCTCTTGCCCCAAGAGACACGCCATGTAAGGCTAAGCAGTGGTAAGGAGGCCACTTACTTCTCCACCATGTAGACCACCCTAGCCTCACAGTCACAATTCTCCATTAGGAACTGCACATGAGTCTCTTCATACATGTGTTTGCTCAGTTCCTAAAGATGTATGTTGGGATCTCCCAAGAACTTTCTTGCTGTGCCTTGGCACATGGGGGTGTTTGGAACTGCCAGTGATTGTCCAGGTACCAGAGGAAGGACAGCTGGGAGGAGTCACGGTGGTCTCTCTTCTGGCAGGTGATGGCTCTGCTTCACTCCGCTTGCATTAGGGGTGTCCTTGGGGAAACCTCAGCGCTGTCTACTAAGGTAACCAGTGTGTTCTCTCCCCAGTGACTAACTGAATCCTTCTCTTTAGAATGCCTTGTTGTTCTAGGCTCTGTCACTTCAGTGGACATTCTGTGTGTGTGTGTGTGTGTGTGTGTGTGTGTGTGTGTGTGTGCATGTTCATGATGGGGTGCAGTGGCCAGAGGTGTCATTCTTCAGGGGCCATCCATCTTGGTTTTTGTTGTTGTTGTTGTTGGGTTTCTTTTGTTTCTTTGTTTTTTGTTTTTGTTTTTGTTTTGTTTTTGAGACAAAAACTTCTCACTGGTCTCAGCTTGCTTACTGATTGGCTGGGCTGGCTGTCCAACAAACCCTAGAGCATCACTTGTCCTGGCCTTCCCAGTACTGGGATTAGCAAGCACACACTACCGTGCCTGGGTTTTTGTTTCTTATTGAACCTGGGTTCTGAGGACTGAACTCAGGTCCTCGTATTTGCAGGCAAGAGCTTTGCCAATGAGCCAGCCAGCCAGCCCATTCAGACATGCTAAAGCTACAGGAAGAGTCCTGTTCAACAATCTATAAAATTATTTCTAGTCTTATTTCCCCCAGCTACTCCATCTCCAAATGAGCTGATATATTGTTCACTGTCTCCTGTAAAATAGAGCTAGAATCTAGTGGGCAATCAAGAAATACACCTTGATGGAGGCTCAGGGGTGAATGACAGAATGCCCCACCAACAGAGGAGGACTGGTATCTCTAAGCATATTTGAAGAGAGGAAAACTTGAGCTCTTGGTGTCAGGCAGTTCCTGGTGCAAACTCTCATGTTTGCTGTCCTTGGGGATGAATGCCACCTCCATCCCAGAATGCTCAGTTCTACCCCTTCATAGTGATGCAAGCCTCAGCCCATGCTGACTCTTCCTGGTTGGAATGGGTGTCCATCTCTGCAGTCCAGGCTTCCCCCTTCTACCTGTCCAGTGTCTTCAGGGCCCCTCCTCTCCATCCCCCAGTGCTCACCTCACATCCCCAAGACCTTCTCAAGGCCAGAAACCTTGGCGTCATCTTGTCCCTGAGCTATTTTTTCCTCCTGTGTATCCAAGTCATTATTACTGCTCCGTCTCCCCAGCCTGAATTTCTGGAAGTCTGCCGCCCATTCAGCCTCTCACTGCTCGCCTCAGCCAAAAGCCTCAGCAGACATGCTTCCCTCACCACCCGGCACCCCTCCCACTCCTCGGTGAGTACAAGTGGTCCTTGGAAATCCCCACCCTGTTCTCCTGGGGCCCACAGCCCCAGTAATCTACTCCAAAGCTTGGCATCTGTTGCCCATCTGAACTCCATCCTCCTGCCCCACCTCCTTTGTCTTCCATGTGCCCCCCCCCGCCCCCCCCACTACCACCCCATAACTGTTGGGACCTCACGATAGGGCTTTTCAAAATCCCTTCTCCCATTAGCACTTGAGTTCTGGTAGAGTTTTACTTCATTTTGCTGTTTTAAGCCATCAAAATTGGTGACACTTAGTATGGCCCAGGCGATGTGTTAATCGTGCTACCCAGATGACTCATGCAGCCAACCTATAGGGCATCATGATTGTGATTTCCACAAACACAAAGAAGAGCACTGAGGCTGGGGACAGCAACTGGCTTGCCCAAGATCACACAATTTGTTGATAAGCAGCAGATACAAGAGTCAAATCTGGCTTACCTAAGCCCAAACTTTTAAGGCCATTTCATGCTGCCTCATTCCAGAGCGCCCATCACAACTAAGCAGGGCCCTCCCAACTATCCCCACTGTTGTGACCACTAAAGATCTTCAGTGCATAGTCTCAAATGCCTCTCTCATGCCTGCTAGCTCACAATTTAATTCCTTAAAGAGTTACAGTGATCAGAACATTATGCTCCCCTGAACCCTGTCTGCCCAGTTAGAGAAGGGGTTAAATGTTCCCAGCAAGGTCCCTGACTCACCATGTGTCACTTCCTTGTCACTGATGAGGCAGGAGAATGCTGTTAAGCCAGCTTTCACATCTGTGGAGTCTGTGGAGTCTCTGAAAAGCCTTGAAGAGCTACTTCTAAGGGGTCAACATTGGTCAGAACAGGGGATGGCAGTCTGCTGGACACACGGGGCCACCTAATTGCTTTCCCATGTCTTGCTGGAGTGGTGCTGGCAGCCAGAGAGCTACCAGAACCTGAACTAATTTGGTAAATAAGGACCAAAACCAAGGACCGCATTTCTGCTTCTTCGCTGAGACCCAGACTCCCCACAGAATTCCAAAGATTTTTCTTCCTTGGAAGTCACTGGACCTCCAGCCCTGAATTCCGCTCCCCAGGAGAGCCTGTTCCCCTGCTCGGAACAAATAACATATTTCCTGGTTAATTGGAAGTCAGGAAGGCTTGAAGAAGGGTGATTGGGCCCCCAGTCTTGCAGAGAGGTCAGTCAGCTCATGGGCTCAGTGTCCTTCTACAGACACCGGGCAACTCGGACTCCTGCATAGTACATCTCAAGTTTGAAAGATGGAGGAAGTCAGGATGACCTGGTGTCTTCTTTTTGATGACTTCTCCGCCCATAGCGGTAAGTTGTCAGCACCACTCTGACTCATACATCACAGCCTGGCCCACAAACTCACAACCACTGGGTCTGGTCTTCCAGTGCCTGTCCTTCCCAGTGAGTACGGTATGCAGGTTTAGCTACGGCAGCCATAAAGTGAATGCCCACATAGAGGTCAAGTAACCTGTCCTAACTCTGTAGAATGTTCTGGAAAGGCTGCCTTCTGTGAACGGAGCTCAGTTCAGAGCTTCTCATCCAGAAATTAGATAATGAGCTATTCCCTCCTTCAGGGCAAATGACGCTCTGTCATTGGGAGGGGACTGATGACTGTTGCGCCCTGCAGTGACACTTAAAAAGTACCTGGCTCTGTGTTAAATGCCTCACATTCATGTTCTCATTTAATTTTCAAAATCCTTTTGTGAAGGGAGTGTTACTTTTCACTGTGTAGTAGGTGAGGAAGTGAAGGCTCAGGGAGGCAAAATGACTTATCCACAGTCACAGCTGTAAGCAGTTACATAGCAACTCTCTCCTGGTGTATCTAGCCACAGACACTGTATCTGTGCCAGCTTCCAAGGGCAGGGAGATGGCCTCAAGCCACAATTCTCTGGGAGATTGGAGCCCTCGGCATTTGGGGTACACTAAGGGATACTGATGGCCCCAGAACTTCTGTTAGTCCCAAATAAGGTCTCCTGTCAAGCCTTCTGATGATCAGCTAGGACACTTTGTGTCCTAGCAGACCAAAGCCACCATGGTGAGTTTCAGAAACCCTGATTCCACCCACCGAGGAGAAGGAAGGAGGCCACACTCAGCCTCCTTTGAGCGGCTTGCTCCCGCTGTTTGAGGCTCATCTTGCTTTTCTCTTTGGGAAGGGACAGGAGAGATACAGATGGAACGCCTGTGCAGCTACAAGGCAGGCATTGCAATCTCCAGCTCACAAACCCAGAGGGGTAAAGTATCTTGTTCAAGGTCTCACAGGCTAGGAGTCCAGCCAGGATTCATCTAAGAAGTCTGAATGGCTCCAAAGTCCATAATTTTTCCACCCTAGCACACTGTGCTCGCTCCAGGGTATCCCGCAAAGATGTGAAATGGGCCGCTCTTCAAAATAACTGGCTCCACTCTGCTCCCTTCATTCCCAGGCTCTGGCACAAGGGTGAACTGGTCTGAAGTCTCTGTGGCATTTAGTTCTAAAGCCAAGATGTCATTTCCTACTCACTTGCACATATCCCTTCAGCCTCTAACTAGAGCAGAATCTTCTAGAATTCCCGGGATCTGGAGCACATCAATGTCCCCCTCCTCCTTCTTGGTGATTTTGTTGTTTTGTTTTTTATTTGTTTGAAATAGGGTCTCACTGTGTACCCCTGACTGTCCTGAAGCTCACCATATAGATGAGGCTAGCCTTGAACATACAGAGCTCTACCTGCCTCTGCCTCTGCCTCTCGAGTGCTGGGGTTAAACTCATGCACCACCATGGCCAGCTGAAGTACTATTTCTTCAGTGGAGGCTCCAAATCTGAATCACAGTGGCATCTGGAGGCCTCCTTTTCATCCATCCCCTGAGAGCACAGGACTTGTGTGCTCCCCTAGGGTGGGGTAAAAGCTGCAATGGGAGATTCTAAATTTTCAGGAGGAAGATTCTAAGTACTGAGGGAGGGGGCAGACCTACGCAAACTTCTGAGGTGGCTGTGGAGGAATTTGAGGACAAGACTGAGAGGGAGCAGCTGTCCTTGGCTGTCATGAAGGTCTCCCAGCCTATTCACATCTTGGCCTCCTGCTGAGACAGTGACACCCTCATACCCTGAGGGGTGAGGCTTGTCTGAACAGAGAAAAGGGGCAGCTATGGCTCTTTCTCTGTGGAGGCCACCAGGAGCCTCACCATTCATTCCTTCTATTTTTCTAGCACAGGGAAGAGGGTGCTGCCTGCTCCCTTGAGGGGAGACAGCTCAAGAGTCGGGACATTCATGAAGTTGGCTCTTGGTCTCTAGGGTCTCAAACCCTTAAGGACAGACCTGGATCCTGAAAATCTCCAGGAAAGGCCACAGACACCAGGCTGAAGGGGGAGGGGAGAGGTGCAGCCAGAGTCCACTGGCCCAGCCAGTCCCCATGACTCATCCCCTGTTTCTGTCCACTCTGGTCTGAGCGCCTTGGCCAAGGGGCCTTGAGGAGGTTGTAACACAGGCTGGCCTCTTGCCCATCTGGGCTCAGCAGACAAAAATTAAAGATCTCACCCCTCAGGAACTCACACAGACAGCAGAGGCATGCTCAGTGTGCTGCCTCAGAGACCAGACTTCAGGCCAGCTAATGCTGGTTGCCAAGGAGGAGGGAAATTTCTTTGGCTCCACCCCCTCCTCCACACCCCACAAAGTCCAGCCCTGAAGCCCTGAGGGCTGCTCACTCCCTTCTCACTCCCTCAAAGGTCTGAAGGTGGCAGTGCCACCCAGTGTTTCCTCAGGTTCCCCCCTCCCTCCCTCCTCACCTCTGCCTGAAGACAATACTCTGTGTCTTCCAAAAGAAACAGACTTGTAATTAACTCTCCATTTTTTTCTGGATG